TGTGTGTGTGTGTGTGTGTGTGTTTTTTTGAGTGTACCCTTGTCTGCTTGGTTCAGCCAAAAGGATGTGTTCCCCTGACCTTTTGTTTATCCGGATCCCGATTTCACCAGGAACATCCTGTGCACCGTGGAGGTTGGGGAGGAGCGTTTGGCGGTGACCATGAAGAATGGGTCTGTGGATATTGAGCCACTGCCTCCTTCAAGTCTCATTCGCGTGACCTCAGCTCCGTCGATCGGCACCTGGGCAAAGCCTTGGGACGAGCCCCGGGCCGTTTACCTTCACAAAACCGGCCAGTGCTTGCCTTGCATCTACTGGCATCGGAAGGCGGACGGTTGCCGCAAGGGGAATCATTGCAGCCACTGCCACCTCTGCACCCCGCAAGAGATGAAGCAACGCAGGCGCCAGCTGCGCCGGCGAGCCGGCGCAGCCGGCGCAGCCGCGCCTCCCGAGGCGTGAGAGATGCGAGGTGCGACCGGCCAAGAGGCCCCTCGGTGAAAGCACAGTGTTGTTTCTTAGAGGTGTTCCAAGCTGATTTGGCTGTGGGTCAAAACCAATGGGATCCCATTTTGGGGCAGGTGCACCACCCATTTTAGAACCCATTTTGGTGGGGATTGGGAAGTTCACTGGGGGTACGATTTGACTTTTGACCCATGGCCATTTTCCAACAGAAGCTGGTGTTCAACCAAGTGCCTTTGCTTCAAGCAGTTCATCCCACAAACCGCCCTGACGCATGTTGCAAGTGCAGAACCGGGAGCCTAGGTCCGGCAAAAACTGGAAGCTTCACGTAGTCTCCCTCTCCAGTCTGGACACACTTTCACTTTTCATTTGGGTGTGGCTCAAAATTAAACAGGAGGGGCAAACCGCAGGTGTTGGTCCATGTCCACTTACCGGGCAAGCCATTTTGGCACCGGCTTTTTTGAGCCACAGCCATTTGTCAAGCATTGTTCTGCTTGTTGGAGTTCGGTGGTGTGTTTTTTGCAATAATTCTCCGAGATGGGCGGAGCAACTCTCGACGTTCGCTCTCGCCGTCTTGAATGCATCCAAGCCAGGTGGCACTCCGTTGGCACTCCGAGCATGGTCAACTTCACAGACATGTCTCACCTTCCGAGTAGCAATCTCTTGCAAGCCCTTGGATGAGTTGCAAACCGGCAGAAACTTTGTTCAGAAGATGCGTTCGTGGCATGTTGGCCTATTGAGGCTTGGCTGCGGTCAAATATACGTTCAATTCAGCAGACGTGCCCTTGGGGCCGCGGTGCGCGGTAGAGCGTGTTGTTGCCCGATGTCGCAACTATGTGTCCAAGGGTCTTGTCCTCAGGCTTCTGGCATGTGAGCGCGTATTTGCACTCACCTGGAGCAGCCAAAGTCTCCTAGATTGTTGACAAAGAACGACTCGCCCAGACTTACCACGGCTGAGCAACTAAACTTGTGCATCCGGTAAGAGCGCTGTGCGACTCAGACATGTTTACCCCCTTAGTGGCTTGCGTTTGCGATCGTTTGCGCCCGACGCGCGTATGGAACTGTCGGTGAAGAGATCCACCAACTTCACCCAAACCACAACAAGATTGCAATCGATGCAGCTGGTTTGTTTGCAGCGCGGCGGGGAGAAACCCTTCCAAGAATGCGGGAGCAGAGGGCGAGCGCAACAGCAACAGCTGCCCTGTGAACAGATTGATCCGCAGCTGTGCCGGAAAGTTCCAGACGGACGGCAGCCATGGCCATCCCTCCGCTTCGCTCGGAACGGCAAGTCTGGAATCGCCAAGGCAACGGCAGCAACAGCAATGCCCGGCCGATTTGTATTGCATTTGAAATCGGACGGTTTAGCCATGTTGGCGGCTCGCTTCTGAACCCGTCCCGATGGGTTTTACGCGTCTGAAGCGGCGAGGTCCCAGACGCACTATAGGTATTTTGGCTGCCAAAAAGGAAGTCTCGGCGGTGTTCTTTCTTCTTGACACGTCTTGTGGTCTACTTTTCAATTGTCCCAATCTTCACTTAGCGGGTGAGTGCTGGTCAGGGGCTGTTTTGCAGCAGTGGGAGCTGAAGGTTTCCCTGACGCGAGTGCTGATTTGGGGCCTAGCTGCCGGAGTTCAGTGTTCTTTTTTGTTTGCAATAATTCTCCGAGATTGGCGGAATTTGACGTTCGCTCTCGCCATCTTGAATACGGTTATCCCCACGGACATGTCTCACCTTCCGAGTAGCAATCTCTGGCAAGCCCTTGGAGGAGTTGCAAACCGGCAGAAGCTTTTGTTCAGACGATGGGTTAGTTTGTGGCGTGTTGGCCTATTGCAGGCTTGGCTGCGGTCAAACATATGTTCAATTCAGCACGCGGTAGACCGTGTTGCTGGCCATCGTCGCAACTATGTGTCCAAAGGCTTGGTCGGCTTCACTGACGCTCACTCCAACCAAGTGAGTCAATGAGAGATTCGCGAGACTTCTCGCTTGGAAAAGAGGCGAAATACTACCGGCTTCGCAGTGCGGCGTGTGGGTGCCAAAAGGAGATCCCTCGAAAATCGCTAATTTGAGTTCCATGTCGACTTGCGCAGCTTTCCTGGATGTTCATTTGACGAGGCGGAGGCTTTTGTTTTGTCTTCGCAACGAAGAAGAAAAGTCGCTTGGGCTTCAGAGATGCCATCCTTCCAAGGTTTCAGTTTGACTCAATGTGGCTTGTTCCCTTCCAGAAGTTTCATTTTTGTTGTGATTCCTTATGTAGTTCCTCCGCTCGCAAACTCCCAGGGGAGGAGCTGATCAAACTCCGGGGCTTCCAGCTGAAGTACCCGCCCAAGGCGGGGAAGCACGTTGACAGCTGGGCCATGCCTCGGTTGGAGGAGATGTCTTCGGTTTGGAAGGGAAACCACATGGAAGCCGCAAATCTCAACGTACCCCCCCCCCCCCGCCATGTTGAGGTTGTTTTTGCAACACCCAGTTGGCATCTGCCTCACAACAACAATGAATGAGGAGGGTAAGGGTGAAAAGAAATGGCACCCAAACTCACCCCGCGCCGGGTAGCAGATAAACCGGGCTTCAAGGACGTACCCTTATTCCAGTGCTCTTTGATTCTGAGGTGCAACTGGCTGGCTAATAGAGGGATGCGCGCAGCAAGCTGAACATTTCCCGCTTTTCCTCTAGTGGAGTTTGTCCACCGATATCCCCTGGACCAGCTACCTGCTACACATTTGTGCACCATTCACTTCCGTTGTTCCTTTCTAGGCAGCTCTTTCAACAAGCAACCCCGGTTGCTGTTTAAAACATCCAGCTGCCAAGCAGGTTTGAAGTCTGGGCTTTGCAAAAAGTCAAAGCTGCTGCATTTCGTCTTTCCGAGCATGGCTAGCAAGCTAATGCCCTTCTGCTTCAGCGGCAAAGAGTGGTTCCTTGAAGGACGCCCGAAGGAATGGCAAACCCAAGGCGGTGTAGACTGGTACAATGCAAAGGTTGCTTTGCAGCTGCCATCAATCTCTGCATTGTAACGCGCATGCGGCCGTTGCAGCATTGGCATTCAAGACCTTGCGTGGAACAGTCCCGTACCCAGTTCGCCATGAGGACCGCTGCTCGCTTGCAAATCAGTAGGCAAAGCGCTGAGAAAGCAACCAGAAGAAAACCAAGGCACCCCTTCCACATGGGCATGTAAGCGCACTTACACATTTTGGACGTTTGCGCTTGAACAAGGCGTGGGCCAAAGTAAATTGGGATTTGCTGGTTTTTCTAGACAGGCTCCTTCTGGATGGTTTTTACTTGTATGTGAGGAAATGTGCTCCTTGTAACATTGTAGGTCAATGTGACAGGAGATGGCAGAGTCCCTTGTCAATGGACTCATCCAGAAGGGACACCTCGCCAATTTGCTGCGACCCTCCTAGCGGAGACTGAGTTTGGAGAAATGCAAGTTTGACCCGTGTCCCCCCCACGCACGTGCCTGGGTTCAGCCCCTTTAAATCATGCGTTCCTTTGCACTCAGGGCCCTGTTTAGTTGTGAAGCCGTCTTCGGGGGATTCCTTTGATCAGTGTCGCATTTGTTTGCATTATCTTTTTTTTTGAGAACATGTGTGTACAGGATGAGACATGTACACCCTGCGAAAGCACATGTCTTTGTCTCAAAATAGAAAACAAATGCCTAGTTTCCTTTAAGCCAACCAAAAGGGTACCCTTCAAAAAGACACACCCACATGTACATACCCCCTCTCCCCCCGTGCGCAAAAGTTTTTTTCAGTCCGCCCGCCTTCGCCAGCCTTCGCCAGCCTTCGCTATTTGCAGCTGCACTGCCCCAGCGCTGTGGGGGTCTTGCGAACATTGCACTTACGTCTAAGCTGGTCCAAACGGAGTGCCTTGGTTGGTTCAGTCAGGTCAAGACGGAGCAGAGCCTCTCCGCCGTGTCGCAGAAGGAGATCCCCTCACGGCTGCAGAACCTGAAGAACAAAGCCGTGAAGCTGGCGATGGCCACCAAGGCTCGATCTGTTCGGATCAGGGCTCCTTAAAAGATCTCCATGTTGCTTGCCCATTTGAAACATGTTGCTTTTTCAACACCAACACAAAGAAATAGAAACCATCATTTACAAGTTGCAATGTTCACGTGTACAATTTAAGGATCCCTGATCTGTGATTCGGATCAGGTTCGCCTGAGGGACATGCGGTGGCAAGGGAAACAGCTCGCGCCAAGCGCTGGAAGCCAGCGGCCAAATCAAAGCACCCAACATCTACTTTGTGGTCTCCACGGGTCTCCACGGGAAGTAGAGACCTCACTTGAATCCTGGGAAAGAATATCGCTCAGTTGTGGCGCTCAGCAAGCCATCTGGCTACATCCTTCCTCGAGCTCACCAACTTGAAACAATCTCAGTTTGGTTTCTGAATTCCTGCCTTTTCCTTTGGCTTCGCTGTGCCCACACCTCGAAATGCGGTTCGGTCACGCCAGTTCTTTGGGTTCTGCAAAAGGGCGGGAAGAGGTTCCAGGTACCGATCCGTTCGATTTTGCAGACACAAAATCGCCGGTCCTTTGCGTGCCAAAATTGAGGACCCGTTCAGGCAAGAAACCGAAAGCCCAAAGCAAACAAGACAGACATCAGGCTCGTTTGGCGTTTGCCCTTTTTGACGCGGTTTTTGCCCTTGACGAGGCACAACATTGCAGCCGGTTTCTGCTTGATTCGGGCTGGCTCCACCCCCTAGGCCTCCATGTTTTTTGCTTTCCGCATAGGGAGACTTCTGAGCAACTAAGTCGTTGTTGCTTCTCGCAGGCGGCGGAAACTAAGTTGAGCAGGAAGCTGAGGGTTGCTTTGGCGAATCCTGCAGAAACTCATCATGGTCCCGTATGAGAGGTAGTCTTAAACCATGGATCCGTTTCTCCGAGAATTCCTCGCTGGTTCCCTTGGGACCTAAATCCGAGTGTACAATTTTGGCAAGCTGTAAACGTAAGCTTGCTTTACCAGCGTTTGAGAGCCGCCTCTCGAAGTACCATGCGGCTTTCATCGAATCATTGAACACACATGGCCGAATCCGAATGGAAGGCTCGTGCCGGGGATGTGATGGAGCTGGCGGTCTCCAAGGTTCAGTCTGTGAAGGCAAGCTCAATCAGCCTCAGATGGGTATGTCTTTTTCAGATTGTTCCTTGGGGTTCTCTTTAAAGCCGCAGAAAAGGGAGACCAACTCCGAAGAATGGAGACTATCAGTCCCCAGGTTCGTTGAAGCTTCAACTTCCGGTGCAACCCTGGAGTGGAAGCCAATGGTTTTTCTGAGGCGATGTGGTCGTGAGCGCAGTGAGTCTTGCTGAATTGCGTACACACTGGTTGCATCAGTTTATCAAGAGAAGGCTTTTTGTTGAAGATTCACTGTCCGTACGAAGGTTATATATATATATATATATTAAATATGATTGGAACAAACAGATGTTGTCAAGCCATCGCTTCCAATACTCCAATCAAGAATGGGAGCAGACCCGAATCCGAAATGGCTGAGCTTGTTCTTCCACCGTTGTTTGGCAAGAGTTCGCTAACTCAGTAGCCATTTGACTCTCTTTCAACCTGAATAGAAATCGATGGCACTGGCTTACACACCAAGGCCATCTACTTCTGTTTTTTTTTTTTTTTTTTGCGAAAAGGTCACCAATGACCATGAGTGGAGGTGTCTTTTTTGATATCCGGTTGACTGTAGACCGGGCGTTGGCCTCGGGTTCAAACCGCGCAGTGTCCCTTGGGCCAGTGGAGCCAATTGGCCCCAACCTTCAGCCATTCTCCGCATCGGCCAGAAAACGCCGAGCTCACAAAGGGTTGCCGGTGAGCTATCGGTTGAGAAAAAGCACATTCTTCCCCGGGCTTTTGAAAACAGGAGGGTCTTTTGCCACCTTTTGCGGAACAATGATCAACCTGTCGCAGTGAAGGATTCCTTTTTGAGGGGGTCGCCAATGTTCTCGTGAAAGGTGGCAGAAAGACACCCCATTTGACATTTTACCAGTCACTCCAAGTGAAGCAAACAATAAAATATTCATTCTAGAACTGGGCCTAACTCTACTCATGGTTTAAATAAAATGCCCTGTTTGAAAACATGCCCCGAAAAAGAAAGACTGCTTTCGAAAGAATTTCAGGTAGGTGAACTATAAGTTGAGAAGAAGCACATTCTTCTCCGGGCTTTGTGAATAAAATGCCCCCAAAAGCCGTTCTCCGCGCGAAAAAAACGCGCGCGGGAGCGCTGGACGCGTCGAAGGCACAGACCGTGGAGCTGGTCACCTCGGCGCGGAGCAAAGTGGTGGACACGGCTTCGACGCTGAGAGCCGGCGTCGCGCCTGGGCGAAGAGCCTCGTGGTTTTGGGGGGGGTGGGGGGGGCGGGGGCGGGGGCGGATCGCATTTCTTTGGTTCGCATTCTCTCACTTTGGCCGCTCAGCTGGTGGTCTCTCGGTACGATCTTTGATGGAGAGAGGAAATTCGGGTCACCTTGCTATCTCTATTCTCTGAACCGGGGACGGGAAGGGGGGAGATTAGAATTGTATGATCTCTCTCTCTTTCTCTTGGCTTGTGCCGGTGAGGTTGACTGTTTCTTCTTCTATCACCTTCCAGGCTTTTATCTCTTTCATATTTTTTATCAGACCCTTGAAGGACGAGTAAGCAAACAATAGAATGTTTGCTAGTTTTCTTTGGGGGCAAGGCCCCTGCTCATTTCCATCCATCTATGTGGGAAAGTACTGGGTCAACTGCAAAACAGCTGGCTTGGTTCTCTATTGGTGTCCGGTTTTGTGTCTTTTGAATTAGGTTTTCTGTTGGCCTCCCGTTCAACTGGTCTGGTTTTGTGGCTAACGTTGTATAGCATGAAGCAATTAAACAATGCGTCTCTATGTGTCATATAGACAGACAATCTTCTAAGAAAGAAACTACAGGAAATTCTATAGGAAACTCCTGATTTTGATGGGTATTTGGCTAACTTCCTGTCGATTTTCCTGCTGGTTTCTACGAACTCTGCGCAAAACGAAACGGGCCGCATCCGCCCGGGCAACGGCACCGGGGCCACGCCACGGCGCACGGGCGCGCCGTCCGGAGGCGGCGCGGGTCACGAAGGTCCTGCAGGCGGCAGAGGCGGCGAAGGCGAGCGCCAGGACAAGGCGCTCGAAATCGTTTGCAAAGCTGTCGGACTGGGGTCATGATTTTGATTTTGTTTCTGGAGGTTATCAAAGTCAGAGAATGAAAGCGGGTGTTTCTCCCTTTAACCCATCACTTAGGGGGTGCCTTTTGAGAATGCTAAAGTCATGAGGCCAGTTGGAGGGTCCTCCAAAATGGGTGGCTGGCCGACTCGGGGGGTTCCTGTAAACATGAATCTCCACACAAGTGTTTTTCTGAAAGGCAAATAATTTGAGCGGGTCAGCCTTGTTGAGCACAGAACCGATGTTTGTAATACGCATACTCAAAAGGCTGCGTTGCCGACTCAGGGGTTCCAGTGAAAATGAACCCAAAAGTGATCAGAAAGGGGAAGCAAAAGTCTTTGGTGTACTTTGGGGGTTGGGTTTTAAAGGAAGGGTCAGGGAGTGGAGAAAAAGAAACCCAGGGATTCGAGTCTCTGGGGATGGGGAGGGCTTCGAGTTTGCAGCCGAAGTAACGGGGTTGCTTCTCAATGCGGATCTTGACAGCCCCGAGAGGCTTCACACGGGTCTCGAGTTTTCTGCGGCCTTGAGCGCTCGGCTGTCCTTGGTTCACTGCCACAGAAATCTGAGAGCACCCTCGCGCTGCAAGGTCCGCCTTCTGACTTCTTCTTGAACAAATGGGGAAACCAAAAAGTGGATGCGGCTCAAAATTAAACAGCTGGGGTTACGCAGGTTTTGGTCCATGCTTCCACTTACCAGCCGCAAAAGGCCAACCTTGCCCTGGCCCAGGCTGACAGATGCACAGGCTGCGGCGGTCAAGAGCTACAGCAAGCTGCGACAGGAGGGAGCTGGCCTCTGCCCAGTCTGCTGGCACCTGCCCTTTTCCCCCGTCGCTTCTCTGGTTGGGTGGGTTTTCCTTAGCATTTCCCTTCAAACCAACCAAAGGTGGGGTTCTCTGAAGAAAAGGACACCTTGGTCTCCAGGCGCCTTTTTGGAAAACTTACAGGATGAGCAACGCATGCTCCGGGTGGTTTTAGCTGAAGCTTCGAGTAGAAGGTTTGGCAAGGAAAGCCTCAGCCTGGGGTTGTTTCTCCGGGGTTTGAGCCGAAAGATGGGGAGGGATTTATGTCAAAGGAAATTCATCGCATTTGAGGCACAATCAAAACCCGGGTAGACGAAGGATAAGGGCCAATCCCAGCCGGAAATAGCTGCGACCGGCTTCTCGGTTCTGGGCTCACCATGTTTGTACCTGGCCTTTCATGAAACGTCTTTGGGAATGTACAGGTCCCAAGAGTTGGAAGCGGACCTGCGCCAAAAGCGAGGCGCCTGATGGAGCCTGAGGAAACATCAAGCGAGCCCCTGGGAACTCAGTTTTCCGTCAGCCAAACGTGTCTTGTCCCGCGTGGCGCGATTTTGTGCGAGTTTGTGCGTAGGAGGGCGTGAGGGTCTGGACCCGGGACACCGTGCAGCTGCTCTCGACGTATGCGGCATCTGGCATCGCCAGCGCAAGGGGCCTGGCCAGGTACCGGGGATGGGGGGATGGGCGGTAGGGGAAGCAGATGTTACAGTGACCTGTCACTTGCAGGCTTGCAGGCGTCTAGAAGAAAAGTGAAGCAAATAAATCAACATGATCAGGTAACGCGCTGACTGGCCCAGAACATTGATGAATGGCCAATCTCGAATGAGTTGTGCTCAACAACCTTGGGGCCGGCTTGTCACCAAGATTCCTGGAGGCAGAGCGTCACGGATGCCAGAGCTGCCAGCGTCAAGTTGGTGGAATCCACACGGAAGGCGGTCAAGGACAGGGCCGATCAGACTGTCGAAGGCGGGGCAACCGCGGTCCTGGATTTCAGTTTGCTTCGAGCGGGCGTAAACGTCATCGCATTACTCACTTCCTGAGTTCATGAACTTTAAACTTTTGGGGAAGACCATTTTAGTGGTAAATATAAAGTTTGAGCTTCTTTTTGGCCATCCACTCAGCCAGTGAGATTATATGATGTGCTTGTTGTTGGAGGTTGGAGCAGAAAATGCATAATGTGGAGTCATTTAATTATGTTCGGAGGTTGCTTGCTGCGTTGCTCAGCAACAAGTTGGAATGTCATTCTGTCTGATATTATGGCCGTCCTGTTCATTTTGTTTGCCACAGAGAAACTACGATGCGCTTGGCCTAGAGGACCCGTCAAACCGAGCTCACCAAGATCTACTATCGAAGGTCCAAAGGATCATTGAAACGGAGCGTAGATTTTGTGCAAGGGTCATGTCCTACCTTAGAGGGTGCTTGGTCTGAGTGTCCAAAATACCGGGGTTCAAAAGAACTTGTCTCGTCCTTCAATCCATCAAAATCCCGGCAGTTTGTTTTGTTTTGACAGTGGCAAGTAGCTGTGGGGCCAAGTAGGTGTGCGTCTTTGTCCTTTGGCTTCCCTTCAAAAGCATAAAAAGTGGTACCCTCAAAGAACGACACACCCCCAAGCAATGGCTGCCGTCCAGATCCGTCCAGTTGGTAAGGCCTTGGTTTTTTTAGTTTCGCCGAGGCGCCAAGGCGACGTACTCCCAGTCGAAGCAGCGAGCGCTGCAGACCGTGGATGACGTCAAGGCCAAAGCCCACGAGGCCGGAAGAGACGCGTCCCCAATGCGCCTCCCGTTGGATGTTTAGCTTGGTTCGAGAAGGGGAATGAGAAATGGAATGACCCCTACAAACAATCCACTATGGTTTCCTTTTCGGGAAACGCTAGGTGCGTTCCCCAAAACGCTGGGGCATTCCCTACCGGGCACCAGCAAGTTAGGGTTGACGCAAAGTTCGATTGCTGAAATCGCTCTTGTGCTGTCCAAATGACACGCTTGCCGCTCTTCGGTTTGGCCCTTTTCGCCTTTGAACCCTTTCAACTATTGCGATTGACCAAAAACCTTCCCCATTAATTCCCCTTGTTACTTTTTGCTTTTTTGGGGTGCACTTTGTTTTCCACTACCAGGCCAAAAATATGTTTTTTGCTGGGGTCCACTAATTCGCAATGTTACATTTGTGCTGGCTGAGCCTGCGGTCCCTCCCACCGTTTTCATTGACTGGGACTGCAGTCAGCCTGCGCGTCCATTTACCATTGTGGGCAAGGGAATCCATGGTGCAGCCCCACTGGCCTACACTGCCTACACTTGAAATACTCAACAGGAAGCATAGTCGCAACTGAGGGAAAAGACCCGGACCACTACGCAGATAATACCTATAAGGCTGATTGCCTATGAAGCATAAACCATGGCAAGAAACCCTGATTAGGCCCACCAGGCCCAACAATTTTGAGCCCAACGTACTAGCCACAGAATCCTGTGACAATTGGGGGCCATCTGACGTGCGCACAAGCCTACTGTGCCAAGTGGCAGCATGGATTGGCAGATTTTGGATGATGAGGAAGAACTCAAAGCCGTGGGTCATTGCCATTGAAACCATTACAGTTGGATGAAAGTAGACGGCACACAAAACCTACAATCAAGCAAGCAATCAACCAACCAGCCAGCCAGCCAGCCAGCCAACCAACCAACCAAGCAAGCAAGCAAGCAAACAAGCAATCAATGAATCAATCAACCAACCAACCAACCAACCAATCAATCGATCAATCAACCAACCAACCAACCAACAAACCAAGCAACCAAGCAACCAAGCAACCAAGCAAGCAAGCAATCAATCAATCAATCAGTCAGTCAATAAATATAAACCAACGAGTAAAAGTAATAAGTGGGAATGAAGAACCATATGCATAAACAAGCAACTACATACAGATAAATCAATGAACCAATGAAACAAAATACCCACCTTGAAAAATGCTCAAAGGACGCCCCGACCACTGCCCTGTGAAAGGAAAAAACGAAGCTGAGAAAATAGACAATCAATAAATGACCCCCAGTTGCCCAGGCCCCTTTTTTCTCTTTTTTTTGGGAAGGGTTCCCCCTTTTCTGGTCAACCAAGAAAGGATGCCCCTTTTTTTTGCATGGATCTCTTGCATCTGAGATGCGGTCGACTCGCCTCGAAGGTCTCCGACAAGGCCAAGGCCGCGGCCCAGGACGGCCACGTCCGCGCCACCGCGGTGGGGGTGGCCGGCGGCGCCACCACCCTGGGCGTCACCGGCGCCCCGGAGAACCGGGCGGAGAACCGGGCTGGGCCACCGGCTCCGGAATTGGGACCTACCTTGAGATAGGCATAGGCACCCTCAAGTGGTCTAAGATCTCATAGTTCTTGAAACCCCAAATGCCAGAAGGATCTTGGGTCTAAAAGTTAAAGCCCCAATGCAACTGCGATTTTTTTATTCGGGTACCCGTTTTGGATTGGTTTCAAGGAGAACCAGGTGGAAAGTCCACCCATTTTTGGGGGGTGTCCTGTTTTGAAAGACACCCATATTCTAGGGGTTGATTCCCCATTATTTTCAACCATCGTTCTTTTCGAACACCCGCTGTTTCCCCATGGTATTTTTTGAGGTGTTTCTGTGGTTTTCTGAAAAGATTGGTTTTTGGACTGAATGGGGAAGCTACCCTTGGACACATAGCACTGGCATGATCCATGCGAGGTGCCACCACGGGCCTCGCGGCGGGTGCCGCCGTGGGCGCTGCCGTGGGCGTGGTGCCGGCCCTTTTCACCTTCGGCCTGTCCATCCCCGTGGGGGCCATGCTGGGAGGCTGAAGCTGGGCATTGCTGTCTGGTCTTGGGGCTCTCAAAGCCCAAAGCCAAACCCAAAAAACCCGAACCAGGTCCCAAAACAAGAAAACCAAGCCTGAATCAACAAACAAGCCTGGCCACCCCAACCCCGAGTAGAGGTGGCCGCCTTTGTATGTCCTATGAGTAATGGACAAGTCCGTGATTCCTGGGTAGGAGAGGGGGACTACACTGTGGTTTACCTAAAAGGATCAGAAACCATCGCACATCCGCTTGGATAAAATGCTTCCTGGCCGCACGTTGGATGCTGGGCTTTTCTGGCTCAGGTGGAACTGGACTGGTGGTGGGCACTGCAGAGCCTTGGCAAAGTTCCGAAAGCCGTTGGCTGTGTCGCCAGTGAGGGGTAAGGCCCCTGGCAGTCAGTTTCGCGTGAAAACAGGCAACAAGCGGTTCTCAAATGTTCAGGACCTACCCATTTGTAAAACGTTGCCATGTCAACGAGAGACTTGAGTCGTCATATCCTGCGAATGGTCAACATGATTGCAAGTGGATAGGGCCATCCGGAGCCCCTTCGTAGTGAGGACTCGGATCCCTTTGTGCGCACCGCGTTCATGGGACAAGTTCATTCATTCCAGGTTGACAATTTAACCGAGGTCACCTGAGTGGAACAGGTTACCCATGACACTCACTCAGAGTTAGTTTTGCAGCACTCAAACCCACATTTCCCATTCAGCTGGGTTTACCTGGTCTTACGGTTAGGCCTACATGGCTATGAATCTGAAGAGTGAACCTCCTCAAAAATGGTGGACATTCTGAGGGTTTTGTAGGAATGGCTTAAAATAATACGTTTTTATCCGGACATGTGCCTAAATGAGGTCAATACCCAGTGGGTGTATTCCCAGGGTGTAATGCAAAAACCCTTCGAGACATGAACTCCATGACCTGAACCTCCTCAAAACTGGAACCTTAGAACCTCATCCCTGGACATTGGCACTGAGGGTCATCCTGGAACCTCACACCTAAACATTGGCACTGACCGAATCCTGGTCTTATGGTTAGGCCTACCTGGCGATGACTTTTACTAGTGAACCTCAGGTTCACATGGCTTGTTTGTAGGTCATAGCCTCACATGACTTCTAATAGTGAACCTCACATGGAGTGAACCTCACGCACTTTTAGGCCATATATGGCTATGACATGATTTTCATGACCGACTCGCGTCCGCCCGCGTGAGCCTTGGGGCAGCTCCCTGGCTTCAGGTTGGCACCACCGCCGGCGCGGTGAGCGGCGGCGCCGCAGGCTACGGCGCCTATGCCAAGCGCGACCAGATCGAGGCGGGGCTGGAGACTCAGTTCTTCAGTGGCACCAATTCTGTTCCCCTTTGTTTTGGTGACTGCCCACCAAAAATGGTCCTCCCCGAAAAGGGTTCCCTTTTTTGCCAGGGTCACTGGAACAACTGAGGAGACAAAACAAGTCTATTTGTCACTGCAAGCACCCTGGGAATCCACTTGTACCAGGGCATACGTTTCATGGGGATTGAACCACCGCCCTAACTTCAGGAAGTCCTTCTTGTGAGTCCTTCTTGTGAGGCATTGTGTTTTCCCACACCTGGGTGGATTTTGGCCAAAAGTGCTCTTTGTCCAATCCGCAAGCTGAGCTTGAGGAAGCCGCTTGGCACCAGCCGTCGGTGACACCACAGATGGGAGAAGAATTGAGCAATTTCCGGGAGCCAAAAAGCTTGACTGCTATTGGGTTGGATCTTTAGACTTTAACTTTTTGGTTGAAATCAAGGGCTTTTCCACTAAACCCCCAAAAAGTTAGAACCACTTTTTGCAGGGGGGTCAACAGCAACCAACAAAGATGCTTACAATTGCTGCGACTTGGGAACCGCCGACAAAAGACCCAGCCAGCTTCTCCCAGATCAGAGCCAGCAGGAGTTTCGCACCAAGACGGTGACCCGGATCTCCTCGAGCGTGGATGTGGTGAAGGCAAGGGGGTGTACGACAAGTGGGCAAAATCCCAACTTGCACAAGCTGGCTCCCAGTATTTCAGTATTTCGGGGGTTTCACGCATCCCCACTGGTGCCAAGTGATTTTGTCCATGAGTACCACTTGTAGACTGCAAGGCCACACCGACTTTTTGCGCTGTGTTCATCCTGTCAAACCATCGGAAGCAACCGAACGATTTGAAGAGGTGTTTTAATTTAGGGAACACCCCAAATCGTTTTGTCCACGGCCGGCCACATGGGATCGGAAGGAGCGACAGGTGCCAAGCAGTTGGGAATCCTTGGGTCTACGACTCCCCAAGGAGAGCTTGCAACTTAAACAAAGCAAGGGGCAACAGCTGGGCGAACTCCTTTCCCAGGGCAAGGCTGCAGCCTCCAAGGCCTACATCAAGGACCAGGAGGGGTCCCAAAGTTGGACAGCCATTTGAAGGTTCACCTGTGCAATGTGTGAGAGGTATCATGTCTGCTTTTCTTTAGGGGGAACTTGGGCAATTTGCAACCCCTGTAATCACCTTGAAGGGTCGACCCTTCGCATGGGTGTGTCTTGGTATGAGGGAGCGTATTTGGGTTGGCTTAAAGGGAAACCAAAGCATCCATTTTCAGGGTTCCGACAAACCAAAAGTATAATTTAGAATTCGCAAGAGGAGTTTGACCTCGGGATGTTTTCATGGCAGCCCAGGTCCCCATAAAGCGGGGAAGGCTAGATGATGCTTGAGGTACGGGGGGACAAGTTTGTCGCGGTTCTCCGCAGAGCATGCATACGTAGACAGGCAATTTGGTGTTCGATGACCATGTCTGTGTTTGGGAAGCAGCCAAAAGGTTGATCCTTGTTGTGGGTGTCAAACATGCCAGGGCAAGTTCCTTGCGCAAAGGCCCACTCCAGAAATGCGTCACAAGTGTTGTTTGCCATCACAAGTGACGTTTATGTGGGTATGACTTTTTGGTTGAGGGTATCTTATTTGTAGTTCAAAAGGAAGCCAAAATGAAAACCTTTTGAGACTCCTCAGTTTGTCTATCTTTTGTGTTGTTCTGTCAGACTAAGACACACTCGGAGCTGCAAAGGCAGTTGAACACTTCAAGACAAGGTGCAATGCACGCGGCATGTTCTTTCAACGAGGTGCACACTGGGTCTCGCCGTGTGAACTGTTGTTTTCTCGAGGTCCCCCAAAATTCAGGATGAAACCCAACAAGCAGTTATGTGGGTGCGAACATGTAACAGCTGGTGCAAACCGCAAGTGGTTGTTGACTTGTCCATCTGCCAAGGTTCCAGTTTGGACGCCGATTTTCAGCCACATGTGTTTGGAGCCAGTTTTGCCGTTTGCTTGAATAGACCTGGTCCAGTACGCGTTTTGCAAATGTTCAAATGGCATCCCTACACATCCCTTCCAATCCACCGGAGCGTCTCCATTTCCTCTTGGCAAGACCAGATCAGGACCGGAGCACCTGAACCCCCGAAAGTCCCTCAAATGTTGCAAGGAATGATTTGTTGTTGCATTCCTTCTGACCATCTCTGAAAAGGGTACCCACAAAAAACGACAAGCCCATTTGCGGTCCGTTCCCTATCCAGGGATTGACCTTGGCAACGCATGGATGCCTCAAGAGCGCTTCACTCCGGCACTTTTTCTCCATGCAAGGCTTCGGCTGCGCGCGCCCGCATTGCGCGCGCTTAGATGGGCCGGGCCGGGCCTTTCGGCCTTTGGGCCAGGCAGTCGCAAGGCGAAGCTGGGGTTTTGACTTGGGCTTCATGTCAGGGGCTTGCCCTTAAGTTCTGTTCTTGACTCTGGTTTCATGTCAGGGGAGTTGGGGTGGAACTTACCCTGAAATTCTGTCGCAGTGGCGTTTGGAGGTAAACAGGCTCAAATGCTTGCGTATTCAAGGATGGTGTGGGCGAAATAGCACATTGGCACATTTTCACACACCCCACCGCCCATGCCTCCTGCGCCGTTCAGGTTTTCCATTGTACAGATTGCACTCCTGCGGAGGACGCTTGGCTTTCTTGCTATGAGCAAATTGTGTGTTTGCTTCCCCCAAGGCTGGCGGTTTGGATTGGTGGAGGTTTGAACCTTTGGTTCACGAGGGTAAATGGAAACCAGCCCTCACCTCCAAACCACAAATCTAAACCATCAATGAGGGAAGCTGATGTCGCATTTTTCAAAAGATTGGTTTCCACTTCCAGCCCAGGACTGAATCCTTCGGTGAGGATTGTGGCTCTGGCTTGGGCCGGAAGCGAATGTTGAGACGGCATGGGCCTCTCAGAGACAGCTTTCACAGAGCATTCAGTGCTTCAGGTGGCGAGAGGCTACCTGAAAGCACTCCTCTCTTCCATAATTCGCCTGATTTGGATGGACCTCTCTGGCCTGACAGGGGCCAGTTCCATCATGTTTTGCCCAAGATTGCATCGCCCCAAGAAGGGCCAGCAAAAAGATTGCCAAGAAAGGAAGGAGCAAGAAAGTGGGGCGCTCGGTAGCCAGGGCCATGTGAGCCACGTGCTCAAAACCCGGGTAGATGAAGCTTAAGGGACAATCCCGGCCAGAAATAGTTGCGGATATCCGCCTTCTAAATTCTTGAAGCATGGTTCTGGGTCGACCATTTTAATACCGGGTTTTGATTATGACTCTTGTGCAATGTGCCTGCTCCCTTCCAGCCCGGGCTTCCTCAAACGGGCTGGGCTGATTTTCGCTCCCGCGCCAGGCCGAGGCAAAGGAAAGCCGGAAGCCCGAGGCGCGGTGAAAAGAGTTTTCAGAACCAACTCGTCAAAGCGACGTTCCAAAACCCTGGCATTAAGTGCTCGAGCAAAAAATGGTTCTCGAGATGTTGCCTCTTCTTTTGAAAAGCAGGCCGCAAAGGGGTTGGTTTGGATATGTCTCTTCAGCCGCAACTGGGGTTCAAACACTGCTCAACTGACATAACAACGGTCTCGTCAGATCCATGAACTTGCGCAGGCGAGCCCAGCGAGTAAGAAAAGGAAAGCACAGGACGCGAGACACGCAGAGCGGTTTGGAGCCTTTTCACACGAAGGCAAAAAAGTTCCACGGGTCCGATTTAATTGATTTGGTATTTGTGTTGCCTCCAGCTTCCGCCTCGCTAGTTTCCACTAGAAGCTGCCGAGGGCGTGTGTCACAAACACAACTCGCCTGAGATGGGCCAAGGTGGTGCTTAGAGCATGAATGATCCGGCCCTCAGGTCGTCCTTTTGTAGACATGGGTATGGGTCAAAATGAATCCACCAGAGGACCGCAGGTTTTTGTCCCTGTTTCCACTTACCAGGGCAAGCCATTTTGGGGTGACCCTATTCTTGACCCACAGCCACATGAGCCACTGGCCTGGAAGGATCCGGCCAACCGAAAGGACGTGAAAAGAAAAGTCAAGGTGCGCGCCTCAAGCCAAGCCTTTGCCTCGCAAGCAGTCTGTCAGGGGAAAGCAAGCAGCACCCGAATCACATAGGCACCTGGCAAGTTTTTGCAGACTACTCCCTAACAAAGAAAACAGCAACATAGCCAGTGATTCCAGATGCTGCCATTATTCCTCTGATTGGTGGTTTGCAGTCCGGTGGTTTGGTGGTGAAGGGTAGCTTCCGTTTTACCCATCCCCCAGCCACCAATCCGAACCACCAACCAAGAGTTACTTGAACTGTGGTAGGGAACCACGGGCTTGCCACGAAAGTCCTTGAACTTGCTTTGAGTGAAAATTGATATCACTTGTTTCAGTTTGGTCCTGCGCCAGCTATATTTGTTATTTACTTGAAACAGCGGCTTGCACTTCTTGCCACCAATGAATGAATCTCTCAGCCTGGCTCCCAGTCAGAATGCCTAGGTCAAGCGCAAATGAGTTTTATTGTGGCCGGATTGGCGGCTTTGTTTCACAGCCTGAATAGGCAAGGCTCTCCCGGTCCATATGATAAGCGGCTGGGCATCTCGGGGTGAATAATTGGAATCAATTACAATTTGAATAAAGGATTTAGATCGGAATAATAATATATTTAGGAAACAAATCTAGATTATTTACTAGATCGATTTATATATATATTTACGATCTTGGATTGATTTTTGTTTGTGAACGAAAAATATATTATTCAAAAAATCTATTATTTGAATTTGAAAATATTTATTCGATATTATATTTTCTTGTAAATCGGTATGGTTTTGAGGTCGTATTTCTTGTGTATGGGTAAGTGGTATTGGCCGAATTATAATATTGGGATGTATGGCTCGCCGTGGGTGTTTGGATATGTGTTCTTTGGGGAATTAATTATCGATTATGGTAGTGTTGTTTGGTGTTTTGTTGTGTTGGGGGATGATTCGCTCGCGTTCCCGTAGATCGAGCTTGATCTTAGCTCGACGGGTATGGAAATGGATGGCACACACATATTGATTTTTATATTGAAGAGGATTTGAGACACTTGTTCGGTATTAATCTGAATTTAGAAACCCTTTTTGTTGTTGATTTTCGCGCGGGAGAGGGATTTTATTGTGGTCGGGTGTATTCGCCACAGATTAGGTGGCCGACTGGGCTGGAACACGGTAGTAGGGTTGCGTTTGACTAACTTTTGAAAGGGGAATTGCCGGGGCGTCCTTTAAAGGGGTGATTTTAAACCCAACGGCTTGTTTGTTGTTGTGTTTGCGGACTTTTGGTCGGCGCTTAAGTTGTGGGGGGGGGCGTATATCTTAGGTATTGGGGACGTTTTGGGCATGATAACGTTTATTTTGTTCTTGGTGGGCCCCATAAGTTATTTGAAGAATTGCTAATTTTAAATAACATTTTTTGTATGTTGGTCCGTACTAAAGAGTATGTACCTGCCGCTCTCTTTCTTTTGGCACTTTTAAAAAAACCGAGTTGATGTTTCGGATTATCTTCCTCCTACGGAGGGCGGACGGGGAACGCCCGACACTGAGGCCATGCAAGCCGCGAGGCAAGCTTAGATCGAATTCTTTTTTTTTTCCCAAATGTATGTTGCATTAATTTCACCGCGGGCAGCGGCCCCAACAAGCGCATTACTTCACCCAGAGTCTCCTTTTGCGCTGGAAGATGGGAGAGCGGTTGGCCGCAAAGCTTTGGAGGCTGAGCGCTTAATTTCTTTGGGACGACCTTCCTAAGTTCTTTAGTGATTTCTTCCACCTGGATTGGCTCACAATATGCCGGAGGTTCGAGGGAAATTATTAGCCAAATTTCCTCCTTGCCCGCCAGATTCGTTGCCTTAAGTTGTGGATATTCCGCTTTCTAATCCTATAACCATCGATAATTTAATCCGGCAAATCCGTTCGTTTGCCGTAGGTGTCGGTCCGGGACCAGACGGGTTAAGAGCTGATTTCCTGAAAGCTCTTCTAAGTTCCGGCTCGGATGAAATTAGTGCCGCGTTTTTTGCGATTTCGCTCAGTTATTGGTTAACAGATTGGCTCCCGTTTATTTACACCCTTAGATTAGCGGAGGCCAAATAAATGGGATTAGGAAGACCGATGCCCGGGGAGAACCCAGCCCATTAAATGAGGATATTCGCCCGATTATTATAGGGCTTACTTAGAGGAAACTTGTGTTTAAATACATTGGACCGCCCCGAAGTTCAGCAACACTTGGCACCTAGTTAGTTAGCCATCGGCGTTTTTTGTAGTGTTGAGGTCATGATCCACGCGGCGCGAGAGTGGATTAGACAAAATACTGCTAGGCCCATTTGTGTTCTTCTGCAGACCGACATTCGTAATGTTTTTAATGAAATGTTACCTATTCAATTCTTGAAGGATGCCCGCGACCATACTCCCTCCTCGGCTCGATTTGCTTCTTATTGTTATGGAACCCCGTCTTATTTGGTTTACCAAGGACAA